ATAATTTTACCTTCACTATGGCTATTTTTAATCTACGACCACAGGTCAACCTGATTTCTAATCCTTACGAACTTTAAATTCAGTCTAAACTGAGAAAATATATAATACAATTTATTTCATGGTATTGCAACAAACAAACGTTGAATAGATTCTTAATTCGTATAGAAACATTTATTTAAAATAATAATTTCACCTTCACTATGGCTATTTTAAATTTACGACCAAGGGTCAACCTGATTTTTAATCCTCCGAACTTGATTTCACAACGAGAAAGTAATAAGATCGTTGAAACGTACTTATTTGTCAAAGAAACTTGCAAAAATGTATAAATAATAATATGTAATGTTTTAACAAATTTTTGGAAGTATAAATTAATAATAAAATTGTGAAAATTAATAAATTATACGTTATTATAACATTAATAGAATTATGACTAAACCGAAGTTCGAAGTCGAGTATTTAAAGTCTGATATTACGTGCCTAGCGAGTGCCGGTAATTGTTAAAATTTGTTTAATAATTAGTAATAGAAATTCTAATTGATTCTAATGTATACAAGTGTTACAAGAAGGCTGAGTGTGTACAGGGTGGACATAGGCTAGCTAGTAGCCCCCGACCACTCTATTCACATCTCAGAACCTTCAGGTCAAAATACGCCGCGAAGTGTCTATGGCCCAGTATAAAGGGTGAATAAATTCGCGGGACATCAGCGGGTCCTTATATACCTGCGGTACCCTCTCCCCAAAGTCATTAGCAAAATCGTCGGTTAGGTCAGGCGGGAATCGACTATTTTTCGCGGGAAACCGATTACTTTTCGCGGGAAATTTCTGTTCTTCTATTATGATGTTGTAACACGGTATAATTATTAATTTTCACAATTTTATTATTAATTTATTACTTGCAACAATCTATTATAACGCTACATAGAATCATTTATACGTTTCTATAACTTTCTTCAATGGATAACTACGTTTCAATGTCCTCGTTACTTACTGGTGGTTTAATTAATTTGCTAAGGATTAAAAATCAGGTTGACCTGTGGTCGTAGATTAAAAGTAACCATAGTACAGCTAAATTTATCGTGTTAAATAATTCTTTTTACACGAATGAAAAATGTATTCATCGTTTGTTTGTTATAATATCGTGAAATGAATTGTATTACACATTTTCTCTATTCACACTGAATTTAAAGATTATAACGATTAAAAATCAAGTTGTCCTGTGGCCATTTACCAAGAATAATCATAATAAAGCTGAAATTATTGTGTTAAATAATTTTTTTAATACGAATTAGGAATTTATTCAACGTTTGCTTGTTAAAATACCATGAAATAAATTATATTATACGTTCTCTTAATTTACACTAAATTTATCGTTCTATTTGCATGTCATAACAATTATAGCTACACGTTATGCTGCGTCCGTTTGTTTTTTCTATGCAGTTCAACCTAAATTACTTAAATTTACGTTGCGAGACAGTATAATATTTACAATTCTGTCTGAATTTTTGAAATTCAGAAAAACACAGGTAAACTTCAATAGCATTTAAACGATATTCTCCACCAAACTGGACAAAGTACAGTAACACTTGTACTGTTACTAGTGGAATCGACTCTACATTTTTTTTTTCTTTTTACGTGAATGTAGGCCGATCCTACATTTTACCGGTGTCAGTAACATTTTACTGTCACTAGTGGATTTTGAATTAAAGGAAAATAATACTTAAAAATATGCTTAAAGTAACGAAAATTCTCAGTGAAGATGTTAACATTTTCATAATGAAAGAAATTCTACTTTTTTTTTCTTTTTTTCGAACGATAATGTCTCAATTTTCAATCGTATCGTTAATAGCTACCCTACGCACAAGATACGAGGCCGGTGTATCACGTTTTACCAAGCACAAAGCCTCCCTCCCACTTTCGAGCTGTTATCACAGTAAACGTATCAACGTAATTGTGTAAGCTGCTTTCCAGAAGGGGTATCGAGCGATTACACTGTCTACTAGAATCGATCAGGATTCGATTAACGCCAGATTACACGTGCCTGTTGCCCCGTGTAACAATATACCCTGGATATTAGCAAACAGATTAATAAATTCCACGAGTCTGCGAGAAAATCGACTCCGACTTCTAACCGGTCGTTTTCACGCCGGTAATCCTTCCTGGCGCGAGCAGAATTTTCCGCAGCTCCGACGCGCGGAATAATCTCGCGGAGCTATCGATCCGTGAAACTGATTCGCCTAAGAAGAGAAGAAAAAAAAACCGAGAGGGAAGAAAATAGGTGGGAAGGAAGTCGAGAGGAGAGAGAGGGGCAGGCAGGCAGGCATCGTACAATTCGTATTCCTATTGCCTATTTCTACGATATATCAAAGAGGGAAAATGGGGGAGCGAGCGGTAATCGCGAGGTAAGACAAGGGGGAGAACCTTTTCGGGGGAGCGTTTAGAAGTAGTACAAGTCGAAGGGTGAGAACCTCTTCGAAAAGAGAGTAAAAGAGAGAGAGAGATTTGTACGTGGGGTAGAGAGCAGAGGAACGGTCGAGTTTTACACACAGAG